CTACCTCCAACAACATCACAAATTACAAATTACAAATTACAAATTAGGTACTTTCTGACGCTATGAATTCATTGCTAATCTGTCTCCAGCAGACTCTTTTCCAGCTGCTCTTTTCTATGATAGAGATGGATTCGTTGTGTCATACTAAGAAAAAAAAAAAAAAGTTCGGGGCCCCGTACGAGACGCCCTCCAGTAATTAAGGAATAATAAAAACACACACAGAAAGACTACCCATTCGAGATATACCCACAGTCGAACGGGATGTGGTGGAGTCTTTTCAGTGAGAGTGGAGGGAAATCGGCTGGGTACTGGACTTATTTCGAGTCTTTTTAATAATATAATATATGAGGAGTAACCAGAAACGGGTATACCCGGGTACTTCATCATCATTTTCGGGTACACTTAGAAATCAACGCGCCTGCACCCCCAGGTACCCCCAGGTAACCGGAGACATCTCCAGACCCTCTGGTGGAACCGATGCTGGTTACTGGTGTACCCGGAAACGGTCGATTTCGCACCCAGAAATGGTCCTAAAATCCCGGCGCCCAAGACTCTAAAACCCGCAGAAAAAACGTGTACCGCACATACATACATACCCGCACGACACACCATGTACCGCAGACAGACCCCAAACAAACAAAGTAGCCACACAAAACCACCAACCAACGCTTGTTGACGGGCAGTCTAATTTCACGTATTTATCAACTCGTGGGCCCGGGTTCCTCTCCTAGAGGGGGTCGAACTCGCTCGATCCGCGACTTAGCTCTCGCTATCTATATATATATAGTGCTCGTATATATATAAGGTAATGACAGAGAGACAAAACGGGCACGACCTGCCTCATGCTTCAGAGGCACAGCAGCACAGCAGCACAGCAGCAGCACAGCAGCAGCAGCAGCAGCAGCAGAGCACGGCGGATGGTTTCGCCGCGATCTACGGAGGAGGCTGTCGGAGATTGGTATCCTTCGAGGCAATGTGCCCGTCGACGAGCGTTGTTGGTGGTTTGTGTGGCTACTGCTGTGCGTGGGGTTTGTGCGGTACTGGTTCTGGTGTGTCGTGCGGGTATGTGCGGTATACGGTTTATTCTGCGGGTTTTAGACTCGTCGGGCGCCGGGATTATATGACCATTTCTGGGTACAAAATCGACCACTTCCGGGTACACTAGTAACCAATATCGGGAACACCAGAGCGAGCAGTAATCAGAAACGGGTATACCCGGGTACTTTATCACCAATTTCGGGTGCACTTAAAAATCAAGACGCCTGCACGCCCAGGCTGTCAGCTGATTGGCCGAAAACCATTGTGTACGTACCCGTTTCTGAGAAAAACTCCATCGGGTACAACTTCCGCTGGAGTTAGGACGCTCTGGTGTTCCCGATATTGGTTACTAGTGTACCCGGAAGTGGTCGATTTTGTACCCAGAAATGGTCATATAATCCCGGCGCCCGACGAGTCTAAAACCCGCAGATTAAACCGTATACCGCACATACATACCCGCACGACACACCAGAACCAGTACCGCACAAACCCCACGCACAGTAGCCACACAAACCACCAACAACAACGCTCGTTGACGGGCACATTGCCTCGAAGGATACCAATCTCCGACAGCCTCCTCCGTAGATCGCGGCGAAACCATCCGCCGTGCTCTGCTGCTGCTGCTGCTGCTGCTGTGCTGCTGTGCTGCTGTGCTGCTGTGCCTCTGAAGCATGAGGCAGGCAGGTCGTGCCCGTTTTGTCTCTCTGTCATTACCTTATATAATATATATATATATATACATACGAGCACTATATTATATAGATAGCGAGCTAAGTCGCGGATCGAGCGAGTTCGACCCCCTCCAGGAGAGGAGCCCGGGCCCACGAGTTGATAAATACGTGAAATTAGACTGCCCGTCAACAAGCGTTGGTGGTTTTGTGTGGCTACTTTGGGGTCTGTCTGCGGTACATGGTGTGTCGTGCGGGTATTATGTGCGGTACACGTTTTTTTCTGCGGGTTTTAGAGTCTTGGGCGCCGGGATTTTAGGACCATTTCTGGGTGCGAAATCGACCGTTTCCGGGTACACCAGTAACCAGCATCGGTTCCACCAGAGGGTCTGGAGATGCCGCCGGCTACCTGGGGGTACCTGGGGGTGCAGGCGCGTTGATTTCTAAGTGTACCCGAAAATGGTGATGAAGTTCCCGGGTATACCCGTTTCTGGTTACTCCTCATTTTATAGCCATACCCCACAGACCCACAGACAGGCTCACACACATCACACAGTTACAGGTTCCACTCGATGTCAAGGTATCGACAACAACGACGTGTCTTTGTCGTTCATTTGGGGTCCATATAATTGTAGGTATGGGTGGCCCTACGAGACATGCTTTGGGGCTCTGCTGCCTTCTGGGTCTGGGTCTCGCCAGCGGCAATCCTACTCGCTTCCGTGAGGTACGCCAAGAGAGAGAGAGAGAGAGAGAGAGAGAGAGAGAGAGAGAGAGAGAGAGAGAGAGAGAGAGAGAGAGAGAGAGAGAGAGAGAGAGAGAGAGAACAACCGAGAGAGAGAGAGAGAACAACCGAGAGACCACCCCTGACCTTGTGCCTATAACGCGGGGTGGCAGATCGCCCTTTTTGCCTCATAGGAGCAGCTGCCGTGTGCACTCGTGCTGCTGCTACTGTGTTGTTGTTGTACTCCACTCAGCTGACTCCACTACACATGGTAGGTCTCCCTTGTCCCCTATGCAACTTGTGCGTTCAATCCAGCGCCACAAAGTACCAAGATTGAACCAAGGGGGTGTACCTCTTTCTCTCCGGCCCATGATAGATAGTGACTGCTAGTCTCAGTTGATACCTCGCATAGCGCGAAGAGGGAGTGGAGGATTCAAGAATATCTGTCGTTGATTTCTATTGACTTGCGGACCCCTCGGGGCCAGTTTATTTGAGTGTACCTTTCTAGGGTAAGCTAACCTGTGACCACGGGAATCGACCGCGTCGAGTGTTGGATCAGTACTGACATACGAAGGTACTGGGTAGAGAGAGATCGGAACGGTTTTTAATGTGAAGACAACAACAACAACAACAACAACAACAAACCCCTGATTTCCTGCGTTCAATCTTTCACACGTGTGTGTGTGAGAGGGAGAGAGAGAAAGAGAGAGAGAGAGAAAAAAAGGAATATACTGTAGGTAGACGGAATGAGACAGGGCGAACGGGTCTTAGTTTCTTGTTGGTTCTGGACCGGAGTTACCTCTTGTCGGGTTCCTCTGTGTGGTGTGGTGTGACGCGTGACAGCCTCACAGCAGCACAGCGGTGCAGCTGTATTTGAAGATAAAACAAGCCGCGTCGTCCAGGCAGGCCCTCGCGGATCGCAAACATGATGCAAGCAATGTTTTCGCTCGTTCATTACAAAACCGGTGCACTGCTGTTCCAGACACCTAGACTAGGGAGCGTTAATCTACGTGAGAAAACCCACAGTGCAATATCCCATGTTGACAACCGGCGTTCACGCCGGAGGGCACAAATGTGCCCAAGCAAGGGTACGGCGGTGGGGCGAAGGGCAGACTCTCTTGTTGATGTGCCCATGTCAGACACCACCCAATGGAATCAAAGTTACAAGAGGAGTGCTCCCCACCATGCGGCTGGTCCTTTTTTTGCTGCGTTGCGCTCACGTATGTACGACAGACATCAACGACCACAACGTCTATTGTTAGCAGTTACTGTAGTACAAAATCGGGCAAAAGCAGGTGCAGGAGCAGCCTCTCTCACACGAGACTCACTGTCGAAGCGTGCGGCAAATGCGTCCGTGGAAGCTACACCTATTTCTCGTGTATAGCGGATAAATTCTGTGTTGTCGCTCATGTATTCAGAACCTGACGTCAAACTTGACGTTAGCGGAGAGGTGATTGGACACACAAGATTCTCTGCGTACTCTCCCTCACTCCCCAGCAGTAAAACCCCTGTTCTTTTCTCTGTGATTTCCCAGGGCGGTGCCTTTGGTGTATGGACAAAATTGAAACTTCGAAATTTCGAGAGGTGACTCTCGGGTGGGGGGCCTTTACATTATTGGGCCAGGCAATGAGCTCTCGAGACGGTTGTCATGGGTGTTGGTGTACAGACCGTGACAGGTCATGGACACCTCACGGACAAATGTTACGAGAGCGCATGGCTTGACCCAGTATTGTTCCGCCCAGCGGGAGGTACTCTGTAGCGCATTGTAGTGTGTATTTTTGAATGAATCTGCAATTAATTGTCGGTTGGTAAGCAACGAAATCAAACCAACAATAGTTAAAGTGGGGGCGGGGCGTTCGTTCTGGCATGACTATGTGATACTCCGACAGCCGATGCGCCAGTTTCTACTTGCTGTGCTCGCTACTCTCGTGTTCTCAGGGTTGTGGAGGGTGGAAGCACTGTTTGGAAACGCACTACTCTACTGGTTCCAAGCCCTTGATCTGGTTCGAAGCGTGGAACCAAACAATACAACCCAAATTGGATCAGCTTCTGGTCACGTCTGGAGAGCAGCAGGAGGGCTGGCCAAAGGAGAACGGTATGTCACACTTGAGAGACACACACGGACAGACAGACACGCACACAGGCAGACAGGCAGACAGACAGACAGGCAGGCAGGAAGACAGACAGACACACAGACAGATAAGAAGAGACAGAGGTGCAGAGAACCATAGGCTGGTAGCGAGGAGCACCGTGGCACAACTTTCGCCGGACAAAATGCCGTAACGGCGATACAATCGCGATATTGCGGGACAGGTTCCCCGTCGGTGTTTGCCAACCGCACTTTGAATGCCATCTGAGAGACTGAAATGCGGTTTTGGTATCAACAAACGCAGGACCAAACTCACAGGAAAACCAGCCGACACCCCCCCGAGATTAAATGCCTATGTACTGGTGTCGTCTTGCGGTGTTTTCTTTTTTTTAAGCCTGCTGTGCCATTTTGCTCACCATGCAGAGTAAAACAACGCGGGTCGGCCTGCCGTGATGATGTTCCAATGATCCTCTTAGGTATACAAATGGTTTTCTCTGGAGACTCCACGATCAGGCAGCAGTTCCAGGTTCTCGGGGAGTTCCTGAAGCTTCGAAGTGATTTCCAACCGGTTGATGGGAACGCGCAGGTATGCTTGCAGCGGAAGTACAGCAACTTCACGAAGCTAAATAGGGTTTGTGGCTTTCGGTTGGCACAATCGCGGGGCACATGAGTGAAAGGTTTGCGCTGCAGCTAAATAGGGCTGTAGGGTGCGCGAATAACATAAGCAACACCTCCCCACTGTACTCACATGCGGTTCGTGTGGTTCGTTCCTCACGGTCTGAATCCGAAGCGTACCCTTAGGGCGAATAGGTCGTTCGGGGTCGGGCAGCAGCTGTTGTCCGTTCCGGAGGAAGACGTAACTCTCAAAGGGTGCAGCTATCTAGACTGTCGGGGTTGGCTAGATAGGTTCCCAAGGCTCGGACACAAGACTCTCTATCCGTCAGAGACGAAAACCACATGGCATCGTTGCGTGGTTAGACTGTTCTGCGTCTGTCTTGTCCATTGCCAGCCGACAACAGGTGCAAAACGCGCTGCTGTTCTCTCGAGGTTCAGATCGTATGGCATTGTAGCAATGTTTAGTGTTCCTCCCAACGTGGCTTGTTCCGCGTTTGTTTCGCCGGGTGATCCCCGCGGCCGCACATTCTCAGGCCTACGAGATGACGTTTGGCGCCCCGAGACATACTCCCGGGTCGGTCACTTTCCTGCTCATGCCGATATACGAAAAGTGCCTGCTCGTGAAGGGAAACCCGTACGTGGCGCAGGCCTACGCGATGTACTTCGGCTGCGGCATGCACCTGTTGCACCTGTTCCCGGTGCAGGAGTCGGCCGACGTGCCGCGAGCAATGCTCAGGCGAGTGTACCTGTCCCATCGAGGACAAGGCATCTGCGCACATATCGTAAGACGCGGTTTCAATCCGTACATCAGTGCAACGGTTTGCACAAAGAGTACGTCAACAGCTTCTATTTTTTAGCGTCAGCGTCACGCATGCTTCAATAGAAGCAAGTTGTCTCTCTCTCTCTCTCTCTCTCTCTCGCTCTCTCGCTCTCTCTCTCTCGATCTCTCTCTCCGTTTCTCCGCGTGTTTCTCGGAAAAGACACGTACCAAGAATGTTCACCCCCGACAGCGGGTTCGAACGGGAGCCGTCTACGTATCCGGCAACCCTACGTTTAGGCGTCCTGTACGCCGGTTGGGGTGTTTTGCTGGCCGGTGGGCATTGTCCTCCGTCTTGGGTTTGTGTATTCGTGTCACGCATCCTTAGCGCCTTCGTTCGCATGCGTACGCGTACACCCCTCCGGGCAATGGGGTGTCTTTTTTACACCGCCCCCCCCCCCGCCATCCGCCGTTCCGATAAGTCAGCTGGGAAAACTACGACACTCTTCTATCGGAGCGCATCGGTGGGTGGCGAGAGGTGAGCAATGTACGCTAGATATATCACACGCCTGGACGTAGTAGGTAGCGTTCGAAGAACCGGTACATGCAGTTCGAGCACAGAAAGCGTTGGCCTTCTGGCCAGTCTCGTGTCCAAATGATCAAATGTGCAAATTGGATCAACCTAGATTATACTTCGAGTACGTGTTGTGTCTCGGGTGTGAAAGCATCACCGCGGGAAGGTCGAAAGCTGGGCCGAAAGACAAAACATCGTACGGTGAGTTTCTGCGCCTTCTACGCTCGACTAGACTATTGATAACTTCAGCATCTGACCTGTGCCCGATTGCTGGTGAATGTGTCGATCTTAACTTCGCGGACAGCCTGCCGGGAAAGTGCGCTATGCATTCGCATTTCGTCAGGTTTCCGCTGCTTCTTGTAGCCGACTGGGTTGGCGCTCGCAGTCCTCCCGTGTTTGAGTTGCATTGACAATATTTTTCATGCGGTACCTAGCTCGGGCCGCCAGGCTCTGAATGCCTCCTGGGGATGGTGGGCATATCTCGTTTATGGATGCACCCGTGCCAATTCTTTTTCCATTTCTGGTGCGCCGGCCGAAGCGTTTGACTCGCGCACACCACCGATGGTTGTTACTGAAACTGCAAGGTCAATCCCGACATCAAGCTTGTCTACATGACCACCCACACCATCGACGAGAGCAAGTACTACGGAGAGTGGAAGACCGCGTTGGAGGGGTACAAGGCTCGAGATCCTGTGTTTCTGGAACCGTGCAAGTTGAAGGTGTGATGGACCTTGTTTCACTGTTGTGGGGTTGTTGCTTGAATCCGGAATAGCAACCGGGTGACATGATTTGTTGGGACCCTGGCACCGCCCTGGAAGGCGCCGAAGTTTCGCGAATATAAGCGATCGGTAACATATACCGTGGTAGCTTTTACAACTTCCAAGAGCCCACCCAGACCAGCAGAGTGATTGCACCACAACATGCTCGAAGCTCCCTAACTATCACCCCAGGGTGTACGCATCGGTATATAGCGGCGTTAACTTGTGATGACGCCGGGTTTTCCAACGAAGGTGCATGATGGTGTGTGACTCTGGTAAAAGTAAGAAAGGGTTAAGTTTTGGGTTTGTCGCTGGCTGATGCGCGTCCCCCATCTCCACGCGACCTTCCTGTGATGTTAATTTCCCCTGCACCGACAATGTCTCCTGTTGCCCCAGTTTGAAGAGATTCTTCCCTCGGAGTCCCCCTTGCGAGATGATCTCGAGCAAGTTTGCATCGACACTGTTTTTGGGGCGCATGGGGTTCAGCTGCTCAACGAGCAAGGGTTGGCAGTGATGAAGGAAATGGGGGTGCCGGTTGTGCCGGCGCACATGCTCGTGGAGGGGCAGCAATGGGCAACACCGGTGAGCGCACGTCGCGTTGTTGTTGTTTGTCTTCACGCTAAAATCCATCCCGATCTCTCCACCCCGAACCCCCCTTTGTCCGTACTGATTCAACCAGACACGGCCAATCGCCGTGGTCAATTCCCGTGGTCAGAGGTTGATTTACGAAAATAAAGGAACAACAAGAATATAATGGACCCGAAGCGTCATCAGAACGATATAATCAGAAACAAACAGTCTGGAGCCTTCCGCCCCCCTCTACACGCTATGCGAGTCGATGCAGATACGTTTTGGCGCAAGACTAAAGTTTCGGCAAAAATTACCAGAGAACGCTATGTAAGGTCTCTCTACGCCGTGGCTCACACCCCTCCACAATGCCTCAAGACCCTTCGCAGTTGATACGATGCGTGCCTGAGAGTAGAGAAACAGTAGTTGTGCTCCAACACGCCTCGGTAAGGGGGTGCTAGGTTATGGTCTGAAATGTCGGCCCTGCTTGTGTCTGAGTTCCCCTGTCCCCAATCCACCCGCCGTTCTTTTCTTCAGGACGGGGACGGGCGACACTTCCCGTACCTCACACCCCTGGAGCTCTTCTGGCTTTTCAACATCCTGGAGGGTTTGTCATGATGTTTGAAGGTTCCGGTGACGCCCCTTGTCTCGCGCCCGTGTCAAGGGTTGGCTCGTTTGTGCAGCGAAGTTGCTGAGAGAGCTGGCGAACTGTGTTCAGAGCATGCGGCCCGATCGTATGACAGAGTGGTATTGAGAAAAAGCGTCGATGTTCTACCACGTGCGCATCTACCATGTGTACCGTTGGTGGTCCAAGCCTGCAGCCAGTCGCGGGGACTAGATGCGAGCAGCAGCCCTCGGGAAAGAACAGCTGCTGTGATCCATGCGACATGTGTTTTCGAGCCAGGGGGCGGAACTGAAGTAGACTCGTATAACTCTCTTTCTTTTCAAGGTTCACTGGGAACCCACTGGAAAATTCTCTGGGGCGCTGAGAGCGTGCCGTTTCGGCTCTCCTTCGGGCACTGCAGCAGTATCCATCGCGGAGCCCGCTTGTACATTTATATGTTTCGTGTAGTATTTTGACGATGAAAACGATTGCGTGGACGGACACCAGGGCCGTCTTCGACGTTCAGGGAGGCGAAATTGGAGTGACAGTTGTACGCCCGCGAGTTTTTGGGAAAATTGATGGCCCATTCGTCGGCAGAGGTGTACATTCCTCCATCAGCGGCGGGAGTGCCCGAAGACGCAAAACGTTGCTGTCGCGTACTGTATCAAAAAGCGCTCTAGGTACGTGCGTGCAACGAGAGTTAGCTGCGCAAACCCTAATTCGCTGGCGGTAGGTCTGAAAAATAAGGTGAACGTGAACTGCGCGTCTATGTTGGGTGCGGTAGACCATTTTGAACGTGCTTCGGTGTTTATCATGATGGCGGGTGCGGATGATTGAACGGGGGTGTAAACTAAAATAGAGGGAAACAAATGGGAATTTCCCCTCGTCATTGTTTTTTGCGGAAAATTGGGTTGCCTTGTTGTGTACCTGTAAAGGACGACCCATGAATGTGATGTACGTCCTTCCTCTTGTGACATGTTGAACTCTCCCCGAGTCGGTATGTGTGTGCACGAACTACAGCGACAGGTAGTGATATGTAGTCTAAGTCAGCACGACCCCTTTAACAACTGGCAATGTCGTCAGACATGCCAGATAACGTTCTCGTGACGGTGTGGGCCAATTATACCCGGCATGAGGAACATTTAACGAATCCTTATGTTGGTATCTTCCATAGGTAAATTGTGCCTTCGCAAGTAGCTCAGACTTCCGTGCGTAAATGAGCGAGAATTGGTGTGCGCTCAGCAGCCGAATTTGCATGCGTAGCTCAGTTGTTGAAGCTGCATTCGGTGTCGCAACTAAATTACGCACGCCCAGATGTACACATTATCTTTGCCAGCATCGAGAATGAGCGCGCACCCACCCCATCCTCTCACTCCGGTCCCCACTGACCAAGAAACTACATTTCAGACAAACCATCGGCTCCTTCGGACCTCCTGTGTTCTCAGAGCTAAGGGGTCTCCTTATCGACCAATAAAACACGAAAAAAAACACGGAACCGTTTTTTCTTGAAAATATATGGAGGCGTTTTTGAACGAAAACGTGAAAAGGAGAGGGGATTTTTGGGGGCTTGCTCCTTTCACGTTTGCGTGTTTTTGACAGAAGCATCGGACAAGCGCACCGCGGGCGCTGTAACATCACTGAGAACGCTAGAAAGACCTGCCAGACTCACGTCCAGGTCTGTTGTTGTGGAGATGGACAAGCGGCAGAAGCGGCGTTCAGTCCGTTCTTGGTCCAAAACTAGACATTGCGTGGTGCTCTCGTCTTCAACTTCTGCTGTTGTTGGTGCTGGGGATTTTTTTTCGATCACACATAGCAAACACGGAAACAGTAGAACGAGTACAGCAGCAGCACCAAGACCTCCAAAGCGCTGATTCCTTCGGTTCGGCTGTCTATATGATACCATCTCCCGGCGCCGTGCTGCTTCGTGGGTATTGGTTGCTTGGGTGCTGCTCAATAAGGTGTGTGAAAGACGTGTGCCACCTCACCAAAATGCCGTTGGAAAAATTGCGGCGAGATGATCTGTTTTTGGTCGGACACATCAACATCAATCCACGGCGCCACGCAGCAGTAGAGCAACAGGGTCTCCAACACGCTATTTCTTTCGGATTGGCCATCTATATGATGCTGGCCGTCAGCGCGGCTGCCGCCCTATGATTGTTGAGCTCGTCTACCTTTGGGTAGGTGGTGGTCAAAGATGGGAGTCGCAACCGTAAAAAATGAGCTGGCAAACTGAAGAAATCGCAAGCAACACCCAGGTTGCGACACTCTGCCGTGCGCCTGTTGTTGCTGAAAACTGAAAACAGCAGGCCGGGTGGACGGGACCTTTCTAAGTATGTTGTCCTCTGTGCCGGGTGCTGCTTATTGCGCTTTTATCGCTGCTCTATGGTGAGCAATACCATGTCAACCTGTTGTGTGCCGAGCAAAGCGTGTATTCAGGGAAGGAAACGTACTTTTTGCGATAACATCACGAAAAGAACAAGCAAAAAAAAGTCGGGTTTTCTTTTAACCGTTCCGTTTGAAAAAGAACGATTTCGACGTTGCGTTAATAATACCCCTATAACCCTCATCGTTCTACGAAAAATAGTCCGGTGGCACAACAGTGAGTTCGTCCGCCGCGCTGCAGCTCTACAGTGGACGCACAGGTTCACACGTAGCCCTTGACCCTATGACAATATATGGCACAAACGAGAGGTGCTCTGCTTGGGTACGTCATCAGTGACTGTACCCATGTTCCGCTGGCGCGACAAGCTGCCGAGAGAACACATTCAACGTGAATCGAATAGGGACACGTCTTCCAACAGCCAACAACGACTCATGAGAGAGAATTAACGAATTAACACCAGGCAGTCGTCAGCATCCCCACAAGTCCACATACATCCCGTAGAGAAGCCTGAAGAAAGACTTGAAACAGACCCCAACCGACGATTTATCCGTCAACTCCTTCATAGCTACGGCGAACGTCCCGCAGCTCAGACAGCTGGGCCACAATTTCCGTCCTACAACAAACAACCAATGAATGAGTTCGGGTGTGTGTGCACTTTTCGGCCCATCAATCATCAGAGGTTGATGATGCCTCAACCCGAAATTTGTTATTGTGTCAAATCGCAAGCTCGCCGAACGAGGTCTGCGGGTTGATCATCTATAAGTACATAACAACTCACAGGCCGCACCCCGATGGTTGTTGGCCCGCGCATGGACTATACCAGCGGAGTTGAAGACATAGGGCCACAAAGTAAGTAATCTCCTTGCTCTTCTTCTGCCAGTCAGCCAAAATTTCCACCAGTCTCAATCCGTGCCCTGCTGCTGTTGTTGCTCCTCCTCTCCTCTCCTCCTGACTGCTTTTATTTTTGATGCCTTTTCTTCAGAAAATCGATGGTGCTTGGAGCAACGCCGAAGGCTTCGCCGGCTTGACTCAGCGCATTCTCGCCTTTCTCCCCCATCCCCCGCAGTATCAGCTGTATCATTGCGTCATGATGGGTGCCGTGGTGGCAGCAGAAGAAGAGCTCACGCTCGAGGTTGCTCTCGAACTCGTACTCCTTGGTGCTGTTGTTATCGTCGCCCCCCAACCCGAGCATGAACATCGGTGCAACCCTCTTCGCACGGAGATAGCGGGCCGTGGGCAAGCTTTGGAGTTGTTGCAAAAGCGAGGAGATGGACCTGGATGCAGCGGCCGGGTCGGTCTCAATATTTCCTCCCCTCGCCCGATGATCATACCGTATGGTCACCGGAGTTGTTGTGGGCACGGCGTCCTCATCGGGGGCAGGTTGTTGTTGCGCCGCCTGAAGGCATTTCGAGAAGTGATCGAGTGTGTGCCTGAGGTGCCCTCCTACAGAAGCTCCGATGGCAGGGTCCATGTGGGCGTAGTCCGCAGGGCTAAGGCAGTCCACTAGCCTCTTCTTGCCTTGAAGGAAACGCATCGCTGCCGACACCACACACCTCCCTCCGTCGCCGGCGATCCCGTCGTCGGCATTGCTGCTAGTGCTGCTGCTGCTGGCGCGCGAGCTTGGTGCTGTTCTGAGGAAACATCGGCGCCGAAAAGGCGGTGCAGCAAGCCGGAGGGACGTGACAAGCCTCGGTGAGAAGTGCATTGATTGCAGGGCTCTGTCTGGCTGCTGTGTTTATTATGGCTGGCACGCACACTCTCCAAAGCTTCTTTGGACAAACCTCGCGTTGCTATAGACTATGCACCAACAAGCAGCTGCCAACAAGTGCCTCGTGTGCGGTGCAACCGTGAACTGAAATGTGAACCTGTTGAACTTGCTGGGCAGCAGCCACTGGCCAGGCTGGGCAGCTGGGCAGAACCTCTGGGAACCGTTCGACTGTGTGTGGGTATATCTCGAATGGGTAGTCTTTTTTTTTTTTTTCTTAGCATGACACAACGAAACCATCTCTATCTATCATAGAAAAGAGTCTGAGACAGATTAGCAATGGATTCATAGCGTCAGAAAGTACCTGTATGTCTACGATTTCCCAGACAGCATATAGGGACATCTCCCCTGCGGGTAACAGGCTCAACAAGACAGTTTGGTAGCTGTCTTGTGTGTCTCATATATATATGTTATGTTGGGAAGGTGCAGATGATATGTGTTAGGTACTGGTCGGGCGTTTTTTGTGTGGCACCCTTTTAGCCGTAGGGAATGCAATCTCCCTCAGTTTTCAAACGTATTTTCAATGTGGTACGCGTATGTACCGGGTATTTGGGTATATATATATGTGTGGATACATTCCGGAGTATGTGCGGACACACGGGCGTGGTCTCACCATTTGCTTACCTTTTTGTGTAATTTCGTGTAATTTCGTGCTGTGAAATCTGCAAATGGCACGGGAGAACATTTGTTCATCTTTTCTTCATTGCCTGCTGACGTGGTCGCCGATAGAGAGAGGCATGTGGTTGAGGTTTCATCACCGACATGTGGGTGTGTGTTAAATGCAGTGGGTATGGCTACCTATCTCGCCCGTATGTAGGCAGAAGGTATGGCTACCTCTCCCACTAGTAGGCAGCGTGGACCACAGGTAAAGACAGGGTCGATCATTTCGTGTGTGTTTTTACGATTCCTTAAACCTTCTAGAGATCGGGGAGCGGAGCGGGTGGCGGGGTGACGGGAGCAGACCCTATTTGCAGAATGGTCCTGCAACGAAATGCTGCAGGATGGAAAACGCCTCAAGAACCCACCCATTACAAACCCAGAACCAAGCAGCGAACCAAGACACACAGAGGCACAGTCAAAACAGCGGAGGTTCGCGGAGGGCATCACAAGGACGCTGACAGCAGTAGATACCCGAGGCACAGCCTCTCCCGGCACGCTCAGTCACTAGATTCCCGAGGATCAGCGTCTCTGGAAGCACCGTCAGCGACATGGAGGCTGCAACCACCTGGCGAGGCACGACGCGGGGTAGCGACATCACCCCAAGGCCTGCCCTCCTCTCCAGAAGGCGCTATTAGGCCGCAAAGCACGAAGACAAGACACTGCAAGCTATCCCTCGTGAGTATTCGTGCTGCTGTGAGGGCCGTTATGCTTCCCCTACACAATTTTATTGCTGCTGTGTTGCTGCTTACTGCCGGCTGTGCACTATTTCGTAGCTGTGCTGTGCTGTGCTGTGTATAACTTGATACAATCCTTTCTATGTATAGCAGTACATAGACCAAGTCACCGACAAGCAGCTTGCCCCCTCAGAAATCAATCACCCGTTGCGTTTTTTTTCGTCCTGTCTTGCCACACACGCAACCCCTCGTGTCACGCAACTTCGTGTGCCGCCGCCGGGGGTACGTTGCGTTTGCTGTAGTAGTGCAGCAGCAGTTGCGTCTCTTTCCTTTGAAGGTGCATTACACTCCCGAGCACACCAACCGCCGAGCAATCCTGGCATGCCCTCTCTCTGTGTACACGCACGCTCCCTTTTGTCCACCGACTGGGATATTTCCATGCGAATATCGGCTGTTTTTTTTGCCGCTGCTGTCAGTGTGTACCGTCCTTGCTTTGATGAATGTCCGCTGCTGGGCGATACTACCGGTCATCAACGTATTCGCTGCTTGTCTGCTGCCAGGCCATGCTGCAGGGTCATGTCAGCATTTTTTCTCAACCAGTGTACAATCCCGCGTACGCGGTCTACCTATGCCCTCTGTGCTCTTATCCTCCCGTTTACAGCTCGCAGCACACATCTACAACGGGTACACGGCCGAAATCCAGCCGTTGTTGATGCCCCGCGGCTTCGGGCCGACGCTCTACAACTTTGGCACCCGGTCGCGGGCTGCGGTTTCAGGGCCCGGCGTACAGTGGGGAGAGAGACGTGGAGCCGAGTTTCCAACCTCTGGAGGGAGTCCGCCCTTGCGTGCTTCTCGAGATCGTCAACATCTCGGGGCCACACCGACACCCGATACCCCCAGGTGATTGCTCTCTCAATGAAAACGAGCCTTCCATAGCCCTCACAACTCCTCAGGTTCGCACGCGTCTGTAGAAGATGTAGTCGTGTTCGACCCCAGCTGAGGCCAGGTGCCGTTTTCGCACCTGTTTTTTTTTTCCTGGCAGCCTTGGTCCTCGTTTGTGGCACTCCTATACTGCAGCAATTTACCGTCGAAGAACACTTTCTACACATTGGTTCCCGTTATGCAGGCTTTGGACAATGAAACCGGCACGCGTATTCACGCTTGTTGATAGTCATCACGAGCCTGTTCGCTGCAGCTTTTTGGTGGGAGGTACGGGTCTTGCTGTAGCTCGACTGCAGTGCGTGTGTCGGGGCTTTTCAGCAACCAGCAGAGAATATGCAATCCGGCGAGCGAACAGCAGTGCTCTTCTTTTTTTTCCGTCATACTCTATACACGAGCATACCGCGGGATTTTGCTTGTTAGAGAGAGAGGAGCGGCACCGGCCGCTGTCTTGAACACCGCTACTTATTCAGCACCACGAAACACCAGGTACGGCAGGTACGGCAGTACAACAGCAGAAGAGCAGAAGATATGCATAGACCCCAGCACGAAGCAGCCTGCTCCTTAGGGATGAATCGCCCTTGTTTTTTTCTAGTCTTGCCTTGCCACACACTCAACCCTTCGTGTGCCGCGGGGAATACGCTTCTTTACCTGCAGCAGTGCAGCAGCAGTGCGTCTCTTTTTTTTAAGGTGCATTACGCACCAGAGCACACCAACGCCGAGAATTTCCTTCGCCGTTTGAGCCGCACTGAGCAGTATTGTTCCGGCCGCTACATAACCTCTCTCTGTGTACACGCACGCTCCCGTTGACCATGTACTACCCGCGGTGTGGGCATACGCTGGCGTACCTCTAGGTTAACAACCGCGCGTTGGCTTACTCCGCCGGTGGTTGCAACGGGAAGGCACAATTTAGATGAGACGCGGTTGATTTAACCAGAAAATACCAGAATAAATCGCACTCATCATCCCCGCCGCCCCGTGTCCACGCCGTCCGTACCGTACATGAGAGAGGTATATCCCCTTCTTTAGCATTACGCTACGCTTCTACCACGTGGCAGCAGCGGCGGGCTGAAGGTGCCTCGGGCAATAGAGAGGTGCCGGGGGGGGGAGGACAACAATTTCTCAATCCAGGGACTCCGGCGGGGTACGGGAGGTGATAGAGGAGTTGGGCGAGGTCGTCTCCCACCATCTACCATGATATCATGGACGCTGAATTGTATATGTCATTGTTCACTTGTTGATTGTGATCCTCCATGGCGCTAGCGCTCCACCGCCACGAAGAGGCTACCGAGAATGTCGGACTGCGAGGCGGGTGACTTTTTTTCTGGATGCTATTTTGTTGAATATATTCACTCTTGTTTTGGTGTGGGGGGTAGGAGCTAAATTAGACCAGAGTCGATTATGCATCTCGTCTCCGTTCTGTTGGGTGTGGGTACGAAATGTTTCGGTCACTCGCGGCACTTGCGCGTGTTTGAATTAGGATCGACCCCGGATCGAAGCTCTCCGGTTCGATTGGAGTAGGCACGACCGAATCAGACTGACGGGCGATTCTTTGAGATGAAAACGACTGAAAACCGTGGGTGGAAGCTTGGGCGTGGACGGAAAGGGAGGGAGTTTCATGGTGTACTGTGAGTGAAAGTGAAGCTGGTCTGTTTCATGAGACCTTTACAAGAACATGGAAGTGATCGTTGGGGAAAAACACAAAATGATACTCTACTCCTGAACCCGGCCAAACATCGGATTGACGCATGAAATGGCCCATGCTCGCCTCCGCATAACACACAAGTGGGGAACACTTGGACCGTGGGTCCCCATCAACATAGGACCACAAGGAGGTCACAAGAGTCCGAAGGCTAAACACCCGTGTTCGTGTTTGGCATTCCGTTACTTAGTACTGACGTCATCTCATTAGATGCTCATCGGACTGTCGACCCCGGAATACCGAGAATGCACACTCAGTCACTCGTGACCACTTTTCAAAATATTTTGCTTACCCCGGTGCCCCGAATACCCCGCCGTTCGCCGTTCGTGTTTTCATGCACCCCTGGCCCTCTCGCCTTTTCTTGCAACTACACAATCTCTTTGATTCTCTGACTTCAAGGTTACGACGCAACACAAACATGGACCCAGCACTGATGGTGTGGGGCACACCGGGGGAGAAAAAGAACCAGCCGAGCGCAGAGGCGCCGAAGAAGGTGTGCACCAAACCCCAGCAGTAGCAATAGCAGCAGTACCATGCCGGCATGCCGACGGTTATCTACACTTCGGCCCGAGAGAAGAGAGGCAGCAGCACCAGGCAGCGACTCTTTCCTAGTTCGATGCTTGGCTTTGCCCTGAGACCTTGCCATTGTCCTGTAGAGCCAACACTTCCTCACCCACCAGCGGCCACTCTTGGCTTTTTGATGTCGTGGTGATCCAGGAAGCACAGCAGTCGTCCATAGTTGTTGAACTCGTGCCATCCAGCCCACACCGTGTAGGGAGTACCACGCACACTGCCGCTCCGCCCTTCTCGTATGCCCTGCCTCACTCATCGCGGTGCCCCAATGCCTGCAGCGTGGCGCGGTTCCCAGCGGACGAGACAAAAGTGCCGTGTATAAGCGGGGTGTTGGGCTTGCTCCCGGCTACAAGAATCCCATTTTTTTTTTAATATTTTTCAAAAAAACTCCTGCCGTTGTAGATTAGATCTGCATTTCGTGTGCAGCAGAGGAGAGCGTTCCAGTCCTGTCCCCGTGCAACGAAGTCACATCGTAGATTGAGCCATGACTAAAAAATCAGTGCACTGGATGTCGCACCGGCGCCAGTCATGTCTGACGTCCTTTCGGTGAATGTTCGCAATAATGGCATGTGTTCAAGATAGTGAGCTCCCACCGCCCATGTTCTACATGCACCCACATGCTCAACGAACTGACGCGCACTCTATGGGCAGCTCCAAAAATGCTCTCCGTATACTGTAGTGTGCGACCGCAAAGATCTTGTGGAGATGTAGTGGTTTCTCGAATTTTGCCCGGTAGCTGCCCGGTAGCTGTGCCATCCAAACTGTGGGCATGAATCCGGCGTAAGATACCGGGGGGTGTTTTTTGGCGTAGGACACCTGCAGGCTGTACAGTGCTGTTGCACCCCTGCAGGTCGCTGCCGTCTTGTTTCCTTCGAGACGTTGTTGAGTTGCACCAGTTTTTCAGCCCACATCCTAACCCTAACCCTAACCCTAACCCTAAGAAGGGCAAGGACCCTGCCAAAAGCGTGCTCCGATTGCCTACGCCGGGGACCCTGCGAAAGGCGGCCAACGCGGACGACGAGACCATCGCCAACACCGACCCCAAGGGCGCTAAGAAGTTCGGCAAGGACCACGTCAAGAACGTGAGCGAGAGAGAGAGAGAGAGAGAGAGAGAGAGAGAGAGAGAGAGAGACATGGTGCCAATGATGCAAGAACTGCTGCATGAAGCTGTGAATTCCCCCCCCAATCAGTAGAAGCGCTTCGGCCCGTTTTTTTTTTGGGATATGCGTTGATATGCGGCTTCTGTGAGATGTTTAGGTTGATTTCATGCAATCCGGTGTGTTGGATCCTGTCGGATACACGACTTTTAAGACACATAGATGTTGGCTATTACGTGACAAGCGGCCATCGTCCAAACTATCCGGCCGTATGTAAGGCACTTGGGGATGGACAGATACAACCGATGAAGCGAACAGCCAACCTTGAAACTAATCCACGAAATTTACACATGTGTAAGCGTGTCACATCGAGGCGAGGCGAAACCAGGCCTATTCAGCCAAACGCTGAGAATTTCCTTTACAAATCCGTGCGTTTTGCGTGTATTTTTTGTGCTGTTGCCTCCCTTTTCCGATGCTTCCACCAGCCGAAACCAGAAGGAGTATTGCTACCAACTCAGCATTGAACGTATTCGTTTGATTGCCACCGTTTCTCTTCGCATATCAAAGCCTCGACGTCCGACCTCCGTTTTTTTTCAACCCTTCCACTGCAATATTACCGATTCAACAGCCAAACAACTCTTTCGGTATTCCGAAGCCGAGACGCCTATGTGTCGTCTTCTTATTTCCGCCTTTCCCTTTGGGATGCGCTCGTTGGTTGAGATCCGCAACTGCCGCCCGAGCAAATAGTACAAACAAACCCCGCTCAGCAGGGGGTTGGTTGGCGCGTTGAATGTGCGGACTCTCCCCACTCTTTCCAGAAGTACGTTTACGGCTTGACGCTGTTGTTGGTGCTGGTGTTCTTTCTCTCGGGGCTGCTGCTTGATTTACACAGCAGCTTGTCTCGGCCACTACACTGGTTTTGCGGGTCTCGTTCGACCAAGTCCTGTCCCTCTATTGGTGGAGACAACGTCGCCCTGTAGAGCAAAACTCGACTGTCGTTGTCCCGTGGCGAACGACCTCCATCTGCACGATATTCAGGGTGGGGACGCATTGTTTTTCGTACAGAAGATGACGGGCTTCGTGCAATAGTCCGGTGTGCAAGCACCCCACCAAGCAAATGACAGGAAAAATAACGACGACACCACCCACCACCAACGATATGTATCAACACAAAATCGAAAAATTGCAAAACATTGTGTGTATAGGTACACAAACTCGTGGACGATGACTGACAAGATGGCGGAGAAGCCCAGGCTGAAGCCTTGTACGAGTACTTCAAGGTAAGAGAAGTAACAATGGCTGGGCTCTCAACTACAGTATTTCAAGTCTCGATCTACAGCAGTAGATGCTTCCAACAGCTTGAAGACGCAAGTAAGTGGCCGGAGGGATGCTGTCGAGTAAAACTTGGGCATGAGTGGAAGAGCCGGAGCGTTCGTCCCACTCTTGATTTTTCGAAGTTGTCGACGGCGTGTGTAGAAGTCGGGAACCGCCGTGCTTGGACCTGCCGTCCTTGTGTAACAGAAAACAATCGTTCCGCCGGGTTTTCTTGTCGCCTTGACCATTTTTCCTCGTCATTCTCCCTCATCATCGACGAATTTTTCAGCTACAGAACGCCGCACCAGTAATTTCCCTGACACGAATGCCCGAACCTACGTCAAAATCCCCCATCGCATGCGTTCGAAGGGTTTCCAGAGGTTCGTCGGAGGCGTCTTTAACCTCGCCGTCCGTAACGGCGCCGCCTTCGAGCGGTGCCACGAGGTGATGAAAGCCCTCGCCAAATCGTGGGAGAACATGAAGAGCATCCCGGCCAGGTCCGGCATCGAGGACGAGTTCGAGGGGGACAGAAAAGAGGTACAGCAGTAGGACGGGGACGGACGCGGGTGGTGGGTCGTGCGCTCGTGATGCTGATGCATTGCCGTAGACGCATAATACCTCGCAGCCCTACATACTGCGGCGGGGGGGACGGGACACACGCAGGGTCTCCCACCGGACCAGAGCGAAATGCTGTTTTTGAAGCAGGGGCTCGGTTCGATTGTATTAGTGTTTTGCTAGCTGTCACGAAGATGACGCAAGTGTCTGAGGGTGCATCCGTCTGTGTACACGCGGGTGTCCATTTTTGTCGGCTGTTCTCACGACATGACGTGATGCTCGTGCTTGCGCATGCGCGACTGTCTCCGTGTTCTCTCTCTGTTGCCTGTGAAACGGTTCGCTGCAAAACCACTCTCGACGTGCCGCCCTCTCCCTGTACCTGCAGCAGTGCCGTGTCCATTACGAGAAATCAGATCGCAGCGTCAAAAATCGTTCCCACGGCTTGAAACGGGGTCCTGTCCAAGAACCACAAGAGCTAATCGACCCCCTGCTGTTGTGAATGACCAGCAATAATGAAATCTGGGTACCGTTCGAGGTGGCTGTTTCGTTGAATGCTGTCAAACGGGTTGGATGCCGACGATCCTTGTATATTCGCCTCACATGAATGGAAAGGACGACCTGTGCGTGAAGGTCGACATGGGCGAGGGGGTCGAAGCTGTCAAGTTCGGCAGTCCGGACGAGCTCTTCAGCGAGTTTTGGCCACTCCTTCTCTGGGCTGTCTCCTCCTCGGACGAGGTGATATTTTTTCTTCTTCTTTTGTTTCACTACTTATTCTATTTCATATTTTTCGTTACGCGATATGTACTCAGTATTCACCCTCGTTAAGGCACGAAGGTAGAGCCAGCCGCCAGGTTCACACGGAGTGCCTGCCTCTGAGGCCCCTCGAACCTTTTTTTTTCTGCGATGCAGGAAGTCAGTCTCATGGTGAAGGGGGGGAGGGGGTTTCACCGATCCTCCTTCCTTTTTCTTCAGACCGTTGAGGCGAATCTTTTGTGTGTATTAGCATCGACCGCGATAATCTGCTGACCAATGAAATGACGCCAGTCTCAGTGCGGTTGAAAACAGTAAATGCAAAACGCGATTACCTGGGACCCCGTCAAAGTCTCCGCTCTCCGGGTGGGAGAGTCTCGTCGTTCGCTGTGCGTGACACGTCAGCTCCATTTTTTCTTACGCTGAAAAACAGAAAGAAGACTGCCGAATATCTTTGCGGTAAGAGTTGCAGTGTTGTGGACTCTCACCCCGTCTCTCTGGGGTTTTCCGAAGCCACTCCTGCCGCTTTTCATTTCTTTGCGCGCCGACTGCTGCTGCTGTTGCTGGGTGTGCATGGTTATTTCTTGAAGATCGAAGACGGCCTCCTGTACCGCTGGATCAAGGACGCCAGCGGCTACGGGGCCAGCTTCTCGAAGAGCAACAAGTTTTTTAAGCTCGTGGCGGGCGAGACTGTCGCCAAAGACAAGACCGGGGAGGCGGCGACCGAGGCTGCCGAATCGGTCACCCTGCGCGCCCAGAAAGGTGCGCGTGTTGTGTACACACAGAACACTAACGTTTCCTGCCACGCATGCTAGCACCTCACGACCGGCGCAAAAATATTTGAAAAACCTGGGCTAGGGGCACCTTACCTCGTGTTGGAGTCGTCGCATGCAGCTTTGTTGGGCCTGACTGCCGCGCGCATTACGCCGAAACAGGGATTGTTTCCCGCCCCTTTACCCTTCAAACTTACCGATGCAGGTGTTGTCAAGTTTGTGTAAGCCACGGGTGTCGCAACCTTTCTTGAGTCCTCCCGACTTGAGGGAGGATTCCGAAAGGGACTCTCGACCGGTTGACCTATCAAAAGGCAAGCACTTGCATGTGGCATGGACCTGGAGACCGGCATGTTCGCGTTCATCAACCCCAACACGACACGATCCACAAGGCGAACATTTTGCTCACATCGTGCCATGCGTACGTTTACCGCTCCTTTTGTTGTGTTCTTGTGTGTGCACGCCCGGCCAGGTGGCATGGACATGAGGGGTGGTCTCAACCGCTTCCTCAAGCTTAACGACAACACGTCAGAAAATGATGACATGCTGGCCTTGATTATGGAGTGCGGTTTTTTTATAGGACCACGGCTCTTGTGGTACATGGGAGTGAAGCACTGACAAGGATTTTACTATTGTGTGGTTGTTAATGTTGAGTTCGTTGTTGTTGATTCTTCACGAAGCAAGTGCGCTCATCGTCAACATCTGGACGTCATTCATTTCATTCGCCACTACTGAATTGTAGCATATCGTCAGGAGGTGTCGCGGGGGGTGGTAAAGCTCGTTCCTTTGCTTGGGCGACATTTTTTTTCTTGTTGAGTCTACAGGCTCAATACAAACCTCTATAGGCTCGTCCTGGCTCAATTGCACACGACTAAAAGGCTCGCCACCCAACAAACAAAACCAGCCGATACTTGCTTTCCCGGTGTCAACGCTCGACCAAACGCGCGTGCTTGGTCCCCGTGCCCCGTCCAACCCCTCTCGCCGCTCCCCACCGGTTGACGCCTCCGGACAGGCCGCAATGGGCCAGACTGCAGACGTGTAAGGTGACCCATAAGCGCAAGCGCGTTACTGGCCGCCACTTCGCCGGGCCGAGTAGCCGCCGCACCAGGGACTTCGACTGCTTCTGGTGATTTTGCTCGTAAGGGCTTTCGACAGCTGGTGGTGATTGAATTGAAGAAGTTCCGCTTCTCTCTCTCTTGCTCTGAAGGGGAGGCTCAGCGTGTACCGTCGCTCTCCTGGGATACCCGCCGTCGATATGGCATCGTGGTCGACAATCTCCCGCTTAGCCCCTTTTTACTCCTGATAAATAAAAGCGCGAGTAGGTCGCCATTTTTGTGACTTGTTGCATGAGGCAGTGGGTTGTGCCCAGAGGATCCTCCTTGTCGATGGTGATGATTTGACGGTGCCAGCAGTGACGTCGCACCGTGTTGTTGTTCGCCGCTGCAGTTGATTGGATGCCGGAGCATCCCCGCCCCCTTGTTGTCGGTACAAAATTGTAGACGAGTTGTGCTGTGCCTTTTCCCTGCTGTTTCTAGCGGCAGCACCTGTCTGAGACGTTCGGTGCTGCCCTGTCCTTCTGCCCCTTTTCCCCGCACGAAGGGCTGCGGTGCATGTGTATATATATCAAACGAGACACGTCAGCGGTCAATTGATTCACAGGAGCTACAGTAGTTGGTTGCCATCTTGATTGACTGCTGTGGCGAGCAGAGTAACGGGCAAGACCTCAGTGGTGCCGTGAAGGGCTCGACCTGAAATCTTTGTCGTTAGGATGGTGCTCAGCCATTCACGCCACGAGTCTTTCTTGCGCAAGGCTCGGTTTAGGATAACTGAGGTCGGTCGTAGTATATGTTGACGCCGGTAGATTGTCGCCTGTGCTGTCGTTGGCAGCAAAGACTTGTTGGCGGTTCCCGGAACATATTTGGTTTGGTCCCCCCCCCCCGTAACTTGTAAGTTCGGATTGTTCACGTAGCTGTGTTGTTGCTCGTTTACGTCCCTTTGTTTTGCGGCTGTACACTTTATTTGTCGCTTACAGTACATGTATGAATCAGACATATGCTATGTCCATCGCAAATGATTGCCAGTCGCCAAGCGAAGCGTTGGTGCGTCGAAGCAGCGTCTTCTCTGCAAGAGGCGAGCGAATCGACAAGCATACACAATCTATTTGGAAACCTTTTTTGGTTCTGAAGCCTTGGGGGGTTGTCTTGTTTCACTATGTGACGGTAGAAATCAAGCCTTGCTCGGTGAGAAGAGTAAGCGCGAAGACGGCCGTGGGGTTTGTGTGACGCTGTCTGCAGGCATGGGAGTTTCTCGCTTTCTTGGGGTACAATCAGTCACCCGCGTGCGTACCCCGCACCGCTTTGTTGTTTGTGAGTTTCCCACGAGTTCAGCACCAGGACAAGCACCGCGATTCCCTGGCTGTGGCATGCCGGAGCTGATCGGGTCATTTCACGTGAAACATTCTCAGAGAGGCAAAAGGGTGGATGTTTTCATTGTGTTGCAGTGATTTTACTGGGTAGTGCAAAGTTCCTGTGTGACCCCAGCTGATGCATCAGGCATACACTGCGACTTGGTGTTTAGACCTGCGCCAGAAAACACGGGGGCACACGCACTCCCAGGCTCACTTCGCTCGCATCGTTGTGCGACGAGTCTACTTGATTGCGACCTGCATGTTGGGCGCTTGGTACGTACGTTGCCGGAATACAGAGCGAAATGACAGTTTCTCGAATCGCTTGCTCTTGGCCAAGCCTATTTGATGTGTATCCCGCTGCCCCTGCGGAGGACTCATTGGAGATTGTCGCACATCCAGGCCATGTACTACAGGCCGCAATAGTTCAAAAATCGGTAAGGGGAAGACAATTTCCGGCGCCTTGTACCAACCCAGACGGAGGAGGGGCCCGGCTACACAAGATGCGTATTGCCGCAGGATGAACCGATAGAACACACATCGCTTGCGAGCTCACTTTTAGCGACGACTAAACTTGTTCGCGTTCTGCTCTTGAGGAAGGCAAGCGATGGAAGTGAAAAACGCCCACCAGGTAGAACCGGTCGTTTGACTTGAGCGAATCTTACGCCAAGAGAGGAAATTGCCGAATGTACGTGTAACGGCTTGACACTGCACACTCTGCAGATGATCCTGCCACCCTTGAATACACGAAGAGATTGCTAGAATTTCCGAGTGATCGCATCCTCCTGGTCAGACCTCATATCAGCGCGAGATTATTCCTCAATCGAGAGGACGCCATTCGGCGGCTATGGAACGGTCCCATCGACAACTTTCCTCAGACCATTCGGGCGGTTTTGGCCCCCTTTTCGCCTGGTAGTTACGGACGATTGCTTCACAGATTCACTCATATGGCCTTCAGAGAAGTACCGCACACTGTGGACAGACAAACACCTTTCCCTCCATGATGCAATCGGCACACAACAACCTCGTTGTCGATTAACCTGGATGCGGCCCTGGCGATAGAACCGCGTCGCCCAGAAAAGCAAACGTCATTTCCGGAGGGACCAGGAGACCAAGAGAACGAAGGGCGAAGAGTGAAACCGCACTAGAAATTCAACGCTGATTGTTCCTCATGGCGGGTGTCTATATTATTGGTCCAACCGGGGAAGTGAAACGCATACAGTCACTTTCAGCCAACGCGTTGGTGAGGTTGAGCTTTCGAAACATCTACCTGAAGCTGTTCGTCAGGTGTAGCCAAGGGTGGGTGCGGTACTGCAGCACCGACACGGCACGATAATCACTCCTGCTTTGCTGGCTTGACGCAATCTGCTGTCGCTCCAAAACGTTACAGAGCAACAGCAGCAGCAGCAGCAGCAGCAACAACAACAACAACAACAACAACAACAACAACAACAACAACAACAACAACGCAGGTACACTCTTGTAACTGATAAGAATAAATGAACCACAGTATCGTCATCCGTCTTGGCATCCCCCAGCTAACCCCCCCTGCATCCTGAGCATCCAGCCGAGCTGGGTGCGTGGAAGGGCCACTGGGCACGATACGCTGCTGGGCTACTTTTTGCTATATGGATGCGCAACCGGTAGAACAAAAAGCAGTACATATCTAAATCATGTAACAACACTACCCCAAATCATGAACAAAATTGGAGGGGTTTTCCCGGGACCTCGCCCTCTCGATCCCAGCCACAACAAGAACATATAGAAGGCGTTGAAATGTACAACACTATCTCCTCGAGCGCGTACAAGATACGGATTTTTCTGCGAATCTTGCTCAGGCGTGTCTGAGGGCAAATCGACTGCAAACACAGGCAAGCTTTGACTACCCTGCTGATCAACACTGTCTCGCATGCTTGTCTTGACTGTTCAGTAGGGAGCAAAGACCAGAGCCATGAATAGGCTACTCTATAATATCGAGCTAGAGGAAAGTAAAAAGCTTTCAACGCATGTTAAAAGTGGGAACAAACAGGACACCAGCCTACTTTGTGCGAGGGCATCCGAGAAAAATTTCTCTGTTCCTGGAACTTTCTAGGTCGCACATAGCGGTAAACTATGGAGGGCCAAGGTTAGTCCGCCTCGTGCCCAGACGACGCGCCAGGGTGTGCGCAGTATACCAGACGCCGTCACTGCAAAACTCGTCGTGCGTAACGTAAAACACCTCGGCGCAAGACTGGAAATTGGAAGAAGGCGATGGGGACCAAAGAAAGGCCGGCTCTCTCTCCCTTCCGTCTTCCTGCTGAAAGCCTTAGCTACGGGGGGCCTCCCACTACAAGGACAAGGATCACGTCATTCACACGTGGGAGGGGTCAAACGAAGGGCGGGCGTTAATGCGATTCTCGCCTCGAAGCGGACGCCTGGGGCTGTGTCGAACACGCGAGGCGAGAGTAACAGCAGTTCGGTTCGACGTTCCATTCCAGGCTTCTCGAGCGCTACAGAAACGGGCCGCGGGGGTGCCGAAAGACCCTCACGGTGTCGAATAGAGCGTTCTGGGTGCTGGTCCAAACTGTGGACAACCACTTGCAGGAACGGGCAACATGTACATGATGTGTGGTGCCGCGGAGCTCACGCAGCGGAGAATACACTGCACGTACTCTAGAACGCTTCACATTGCGTGCAACTGGTGTTGGGGCAGACTGTAGCGTGTTCGCTTGAGGAAGAAAAACGCGGTGTCCTGTAGAGGCAACGTTTTTTCCCACGGCCAATTTGGGTAACTTGGGGGCCCAATCCGAGGTTGTGGTTGCTCTTGGGGTGGGACAATACGCACACACGGAGAAGCTCGTTTCGCTGGTCCATTGTGCAACTTCCAAGATATCACGAGCAAACCCAACGAGGGCCATTCAGGGAGGGAGAAAGAGCAATGACTCAAATCTTCACCTTGGACTCGCGGGTGACGGTGTTGACGTAGTCTGATTGTTTGGAAACGCCCACGGTGCAGTCGCCGTCCAACATCCGTTGCATGTGCAAAACGGGGTCATGTCCATTCCGTACCATTGAACGTTACGGGCAGCCCCACGCGAAAAGAGCAAGGTGCGAGGAAAGGGTCAGTCGGGTTGTGATGTCCCTAGCAAAGATGCGTTCGACATGGACAGCAGTGGCAAAACGGAGGTGCATCGATGGTTGGCTTCATTTTTATCAGCAAATTCACACATATAATGCGGGAATCTAAATGGCTGTGCAAGAAAGGGTGACTGCAAATGCTGAGCCCATTTCGGTAACTCGCTTGGAAGCTACTGTACGACTGCCCACGAGTATTCCATCCTCCCGCGTCGAATTGTCTTGGCTGAAATAACCACGGCTCGGCATGGAACAAAAACCGCACCATGACTTGAATAAAGCCCACCTCTCCACGCGCATGATAGGGTAAGCAAAAAACTCACATGGCCGGTTGTTTGACGCGGTACGCCTCTCCCAGTTCGGGGGAAGGGGGCCGCCGCCGCCGTCGACCTGTGCCCCCCCAACCGCCCCCCCCCCCGCCGCCGCCCCGGCAGCCGTCTGTGCTGAACGGTTGGACAGATACACGGCCGTTTTGTAGGAAGGGGCGGCGGGGAAGCTCCCCCAAGCGGGGGGAGGCGAAGGGTCCCCCGCCGCACTTTCGCGACCGTGCGGGTGGTCGTGCGCGTGGGACGAAGAGGAACGGCGGGAGTTGTCGGCGGAGGAGGCGTTCGAGCCACGGCGCGTGTGCGCCATCGGCATGTCGATGACCTCCGGCCGGCCGCTGGAGACGCTGCTGGAGCGAGGGTGCTGGGTGGGCCTCTCCCACTGGGTTGTCTTGCTCACCGTGTCCTGGAAGTCTGGAAAACGCAAGGGAGTGGATCGAATCGGAGCAAGGGCAGGCCGGCGTACCGATTCCAAGGGGGGCGTGCGATGGGAAAACGTGGGTGGGGCGGGCGTTGTGCGGTCGAGCATGGGTGCTGACATGCTGGGGAAGTTCTTGAGCCCAGATGACTGAACTGGAAAAACAACCATCCCGTTTCCTGCACCCCCCCCCACCGAAACTCACCGCAAGCTAATGGGAATGGGTCGAGAATGGTGTGTGCACAAAAGTAGGTGTACAGTAGTTTCGCTTCAGCCTATCGGTGGAAGAATGGAATAGGCCGCGGGATGACTAGACAACGGGATTTCTTACGGGAACAAACACCCTCCCCAACCTGGCGAAGAAACGCTGACAGGCGCGCGCACACGGCCGGCACTAAACAGGCAGCTACCAACCCTTAAGCCTGAAGCTATGGTTGCCGCCATTACCTCGCACGACGAGTTGGGTGATTGTCGCACGAAAGACCGACGACATGTGTGTGTCTGTGTACGTGCGCGAGCAAACCTCAACGGCACGGGCGGCCGGAAGGGGCTTCGGCACTCACAGGTCTTGCCGCTGTCGTCTGTTCGCGAGATCCAGCCTGGAGGAAGAGGGTCGCCCTGGCAAGACATGAGATGGAGGTTGCCAAGACATGGCAGAGCAATGACTAGTGAGCGCGAGCGAGGCCTGGTGGAAACGAGGAGACGAACACGCCTCCTGAACGATTGAGGAAGGTCTCGCCATGCCGCCGGTAAGCTATTTAGAGTGGGGAGGCGAAAACATGAACACTATTTAACTCGCAGAGGGGTAATGTTGACGTGTTGTTCGCAGCGTTCATGCACGGTTACGTCGAGGTTCCCCTTCATTCCTGACAGGACTTATGTATGTGCCACACGGAGTCCAACACGGGTAGGTAAACATGCAACCCGTAGCTCCCGTCGCAAACGGTCGCAGGAAAATCGAAGCAATACTGCAAAACCCTGGGGAATCCTCTCGCTTCTCACCGACAGCTGCCCATGTTCCCGCGAAACACCAGCACCCGACGAAGCGTGCGCGGGCTGACGAGCGAAACAGAGATGCGGAGGGGGGTCGGGGCCGGGACAGACGGAATGGATGGGCTTGGTAAGTCGACCACAAGGCGCCGGTTTCATGCTCGGAACTGGGTGCTTCTCGGGCTAACGCCATACGGACCGACAGTTCTCCAAATGACGCCGAGGATCAAGACGGGCTATAGCCGGAGAAACGAGGATAGAGCGTGCACTGCCCCACGTTGGTTGCTGCCCCCCAAGAACGAGGAGCAACGTTCGGCTAGTTTCTATGGAAACGTGCAACAGCGGTAGCGCCTGCCTCTGTGTTGACGCGCCTCTGACACCACTCTTGCCTGCCACAGAAGGACAATTGAGCCTCGCTCTGAACCGAAGCGGAACGGGGCGCCACCAGCACGGCCCCCTTGCGGCCAAAATTATCCCTGACCCCTCAAAAAAGAGTCACACTCCCAGCCAAATTATCCGACCTACCTGTGCAGGAGAGGTGTGCACGTCGCAGAGGGCATCGTTTGGGCAAACGACAAATTAACTCTCCGCAGACGCCCCGCCGCCGTTCGGCAACGGCAACCCGCATCTCTACGCCCATCGGCGTGGAATATCGAAACAGAGTGGGTCTTTCTTCGCACCACCGCGTGCGGACTCACCCGGAAGATTCGATTCAACGCCGTACCGGAGGCCTGCGGGCCCCCTCTAGCGCTGCCTAGGGCGTCAGGAGGCGTGCTCTGTTTCTTGCCGGTCAGGGGGTGGAAGTAGTAGATGCTCCCGTTGGCCCTCTGTTTCTTGACCCAGTCCGCGGGTAAGTCTTCCTCCGAGGCGTCGAGCTCGATATCCTGCAGGAACATGTTTCCCGATCAGGCACGCCGCGAAGCGATGCGGGCCGGAATCACGTATTCGTGGGTGAGAAGGGGAGGGATGCAGTAGTGATATCAAAGTGCTTGAGTGAGAGAAAGAGAGAGAGAGAGAGCCAAACGGAACGGGTGTCCGAAAGGAGAAATGAGCTTTCCTCTGTGTGGAGGCGGACGACACAGAACCCCCCCCCGGCTAAACATAGAAAGCGAAATCAACCAGCGTTGAGCTCCACGACCATGCAACACTCCTCTCGAACAACACAGGGCGATGAGTGCTACCCGACAAAATCATCGACCCCCGTTTGTTATCTAAAGTAAACAGTCAGGCTACAAGCTTCACGGTCTCCCACCCAAACCTGGTTCGATATCGACGAGCGGGAGCCGAGGGTGGACAGGCGCTTGTTGACTATGGAGGCCGGCTTGGTCACCGACTTCCTGAAGTTGCGCATCTTGCGGTCGGGCGACTGCTTCACGGAGTACACGAAGAACAGCCCGAACCCGGTCACCACGAACTCTTCGACCGATTTGTGTTTGTGTGTTTGTGCAGCAGAGAGCAACAACAGCCAGAGCAGGGGTGACGGCGAGCGGGAGAGGGTTTTCGTCAAAAAGCAAGGGCGTTGTAAAGCTTGCCAACTCACCAAGAAAACTGACGCAACCAGGTGAGCCGTTTTTTTTTTTAGCTCTTTTTTTTTGGCGGTAACCATAATGGTGGTCGAGTAGATCATGCTGTGCGGGGTGGAGAAACCTCACTCCGCGCAAGGGGGATGATCGCACCACGTTGTGTTAAATTGGTCAAGCATCCTCGAGGCAATTACACAGTGCTTATAGCTGTCTCTGGAAGTGAAAGCACCAGAAAATAAATGAAGTCATACGCAGCTGTCATCCGTACGCAAGGAAGTAAGCACAAGATGCCGAACACCCTTAGCAGGATGCAGCTCACCCTTCATGCGACTCGCCGAATACCTCACGGTGCTTCGCGCTTGGTGATGTGACAGCCTGGTCCGGTGAGAACCCGGCATGCTCCGTGCCGGCTTTGTAGGGATGCGAGGTCAATGGTCTAACGACTACGGCATGCACGACTATGAGTACCCCCCCCCCCTCCCCCTTCACCGCGTTTCCTTGGGGAATTCCTCGGCATCCTCGCCCCCCGCGCCATTGATATGTCGTTCATGTAATCGTTACCCTTGTTCCCCCGTCCAACTATCTTCAAGAAAAAAATTATACCAAGCAGATGGCAAGCGTCAGGGACTCTCGTCTCAATATCCGAAAATGCAGTTCCACCAAATTAGGTTCCAGAACCACGGGGACACAATTCCAAGCAGAGGGCACAGCAGTCAAACCGTTGTTCAGAACCGCAAGAGACTCTCCGCATGAGCCAAGATATGAGCGACAAAACAAAAGAAAGAGCTGTCCCTCCTTTCGAGGTGTTGGTACTCACGCCAAATGCCCCCGATGGCCCCGATGATCGACCACCCGTCAACAGGATCGACCTCCTGTGGGATAACGAGCACGCGGAACACCGGAGCGGCGGGACACCACAAGCGAGCGTCAGCCTCAACTAGTGCTGAACAAGAGGGAGGCGGCGGCCGCCCAGGTGGTGCACACGCGTTCATGTGCTGACAGCGCTGTCGGGTGTCGTGTGGGCTGGGTTTGAAGCATCGATTGCTGTGCTTTGTTGTAAAGCGGTACGGACGTGAATTCGCCAAATCGGACCTAGTTCGACACGTTGTCTTCATTGGCAACAGCTAGGCCACCAGGCACACACCTCTTGAAGCATGCTTCGGGAAACTCGTCGAGTTATCCAGAGGATCACAAAAGAGAAGAAGGCACTAACTACGAAGGCAGAAGACAGTTTGGTGTCATCGTCAACAAGTCCAACAAAAACTGGCGTTTCTTGCATCACAAACACATGCTTCCAGACAGGTACCACAAGTACACGGGTCTTCCCTGTTGCTACGTACGTATATCGGGAAAGGAAGAGCGTATTGGCAAAACGGCGGCAAAGCAAACCCAAGGGGAGACCTCTTCCTTGCTTCGTTTGTTCACTTGCCACGATGGACGTGTACTCGAACTTCGGGATGGACACGTCGACCATAATGAGCGCGAACTCCAACTCGATCGTCTCTTCGGTCCAGTACCAGTTCTGCGTTCCCGTCGTCGTGCTCTGAGAGTAGGTCCGCTGCCGCTCCTCCCGGTTGCCGTTGTCGTCAATCCCCGCAAACTCCGTCAGGCCCATCACCTGCACTCGTTTTCGACCAACGGCGTGGGGTTGCTTTTCTCCGCCGTTTTTTCTGTGCTTTCCTCCTAGGAGTCACAGCTCCGATCCTGGCGTCTGTCGCCCCTCCCCGCGGGAGGAACCAGGCATCCACGCCAACTCCTCTTTCGCAACATGTACAACACCGGGCCACCCCAAACAACAGCACATGATCGCACCGAGATCTCCCACGACCACGCATTGCACGCTGACCTACGGGGACCACAACTCCTGCGGCTGTACCGTGGTGGTTCCCGCATACACGCTTCTTTTTTGAGACCGCGGAAAGCGGACATTTTCGCTGCCCACAAAAAAACACATTTCACAGTCCGCCTCCTGCCAAAATTTGCGGGATGGCACCACGAACAGCTCGACCCTTCTACCGAGAGCGGTAAACTCGACACGTTCGGGGTCCTCCGGAGTGGGAAGGGCAGGGGGGGGGGGGGGGGGAGGGGGGGGG